GTTTATTTGATCAATGTATCTGTGCCTGTGCTAATACCATATTTTAATTACTATAGCATATTAGTTGGCAAGGCATATCCTACCTTCTAGTTGTTTTTCAAAACATTCTTATTTTCGAAAATTTTTTCACCCCAATGAGAATTATCTAATTATATAAAAATTCTGTTAGAATTATTATTATATTTAACTTGTAGATTAATAATTAACATCTTTATGGTGAATTTGCTTCAAATTATTTATAAGACATTCTAAAGTATAGCAACTAAATTCCTTCCTTTAAGACATTCTAAACCAGTAGAATTATTCTTTATTGGCCAGTATAGTTCAAAGATTTGACCTTCTTAAATGTGAACTTTTCATATCTTCATTGTATTTTGTAATATAATTACTTTTATTACCATGACCTCTCTATTTCTTATTTTCTTTATTTTTACCTCATTTATATTTATTTTGGTAACCTATTGTTATAAACTTGGATATATTTGTTTCTCTTTACATTTTCTGTCATGCCCTCCAATTTCTTCGTTATCACCCTCCAAAACCTTGCCCACATTCTCCTGTCATTCCTCAGTTTCATCCCAAAGTCTGTTATATAAGCATAATTACCCATATCCTTCTTGTACAAGTCTTTCCTTTGTCTTTTGGACGACTCTCAAAGAATTAGTTTGAGTTTTTGGTTTGAGTTGTGTCCAGATGCACAACTGCTGTTAGTCTGTGCTACAAGTCCCACCTGACTCAGAAGAATGGAAATAAAGATAACTGTGAGCAGGGGAGATTATTAATTTTTGATCACCTGACCAGTGGCACACTTTAAGATAATGTTAAGTCCTGTAGGTAAAGTTTAAAATTTTGTCATAAATCTGAATTAGAATCAAGGAACTTATTTTTTGAGTAGATTATAAACTATTTTCACTGTTACTTCCATTGAACTTAGCCAGAGCTTTTGTAGTATCCTTGCTTTTCCTTTCACTTAACATATTTTCCCAGAATGTTAAAATGGTCACTTGACCCTTCATCTTTGTTTTTTCCATTAACAATTAGATCTTGCTTGCTCTGTCTAGTGAGTACAGTTTGATGACAGTTTAAGTTTTCTCTATTGATTCAAGATCTTGAAAAGCTTCAAGATCATTAACTTGAAGATGATTGACCTAAATGCCAACATATTTGAAATCTGAGATAGTTATTGTGACATAGAGAATGTGTATACATTTTTATTTTAATGTTTCACTTAGAATTCTTAGTAATATTGGGGTGCCTGGGTGGCTCAGTTGGTTAAGTGTCCGACTTCAACTCAGGTCATGATCTCACAGTCCGTAGGTTCGAGCCCCTCATCGGGTTCTGTGCTGACAGATCAGAGCCTGGAGCCTGCTTCAGATTCTGTGTCTCGCTCTCTGTCCCTCCTCTGTTCTCTCTCTGTCTCTATCTCTCAAAATAAAATAAAGACATAAAAATTTTTAAAAAAAATTCTTAGTAATATTTTCTTACAATTTAATAACTTCTTTATGGTACTAAACACTTTCTGATTTAATGTGAATTTGGATTAATTCAATTTCCAGTAAATTGACAGAAAACAGTTGGTTTATTCAGAAGGTCGAGGATTTGATTCTTTAATAATTTCTATAAAATTAAGAATTTTTACTTTGTCTAGAAGCTGAACAGATTAATTCTGATCTTTTGAAGTTACTGGTTCAATTTTAATGTTTATAACATTATCTTCAGTTATTTGTAGGGATGTTTTTATTCTCTATACTTGGACACAAACTACCCTAATACTCAGTTGCTTAAAACAAAAACAGTCATTTGTTTTGCCCACAAATCTGCATTTTGGGCAGTGTTTGGCAGGCATGTTTGTTCCATGTAGTATCTGCTAGGATTCTCAAATTGGACTAGAGGGTCATTCACATGGCTGGCAAAGTGACATTGGTTATTGATTTTTCCTCACATGATCTCTCTTTGGGCGCCTTGGACTTCCTTACAACATGATGGGTGGGTTTCAAGAGTGAATATCCCAAGAAGCAATGTTCTAAGAGACAGGAAATGAAAACTACTGGTTTTTAAGGTCTGAGCCTGAAAACACATATTTTCACTTTTGTATTATATTGATCAAGCAGTCACAGGGCTCGGATTCTAGGAATATTGAACCTGTAGCTCTTGATGGGAGGAAGAAGAGTCAAAGAAATTTAGAGTTGTTTTCCTTTTCTTTTCTTTTCTTTTCTTTTCTTTTCTTTTCTTTTCTTTTCTTTTCTTTCTCTTTCTCTTTCTCTTTCTCTTTCTCTTTCTTTCTCTTTCTTCTTTCTTCTTTCTTCTTTCTTTCCTTTCTTTCTTTCTTTCTTTTGAGAGCCTGTATGGAGTTGTTCTTTCTTTCTTTTCTTTTTCTTCCTTCTTTTCTTTGTCTTTATCCTTTCCTTTCCTGTCCTGTCCTGTCCTGTCCCGTCCCTTCCTTTCCTTTCCTTTTCGAGAGCCTGTATATGCACACACAAGCTGGGAAGAAACAGAGAGGGGAAGAGAGATAATCCCAGACAGGCTTTGTGCTAACCGACTGGGCTTGATCCCAAGAGCCATGGGAGCATGACTTTAGCCAAAATCAAGTGTCTGATGCTCAACCCACTGAGCCATTTAGGCACCCCATGGAACCATGTTTTCATATTGCTACAAGGGATGTGGGAATTTTCGTATTCGCTAATTTGCTTCAAAGGGAAAATAGTGTTAGTACTTTGAATCAGTAATGCTTATTCTTATTTAGATATTATTTTCCAGTGCAACTGGTTTCTTTTTATCTTTTCACTATTATGCCCTTTTGAAGTAATAAAAACAGTATTTGCAAGATCTATATGAGGAAAATTACAAAACTCCAACCAAACTCAAAGATCCTAAAAAATATATATGGACAGGAAGACTCAGTATTGTTAAGATGCCAGTTCTTCCCAACTTAATTGGTAGATGCAGCACAATCCCAGTCAAAACCTTAGCAAGCTACTTTGTGGATATAAAGAAATTGATTTTAAGCTTATATAGAAAGACAGAAGACCTCAAATATTCAATGTAAAAGTGACGAAGAATAACAGTTATAGGACTGATACTAACTGACTTCAGTAATCAAGACAGTGTGGAATTGGTGAAGAATAGACCAATAGATCAATAGATAAAATTGATAACCCAGGAATAGACTACTCAAATATAGTCAACGGATCTTTGAGATAGGAGCAAAGACAATCCAGTGGAAAAAAAAAAAGATAATCTTTTCATTAAATGGAACTGCAACGTGTCCACATAACAGAAAAAATAGTCTACCCACTGACCTTACACCGTTCACAAAAATTAACTCAAAATGGATCATAGACCTAAATGTAAGAGGCAAAACTATCAAGCATAAAAGCAAACCTTGGTTTGCCTTTGAGTTTTTAGATACAGCACCAAAAGCAGAATCCATGAGAGAAAATAGATGAGCTGGACTTTATTAAAATTAGTGATCATGACCTGAGCTGAAATCAGGGAGTCGGATGTTTAACGGACTGAGCCACCCAGGCACCCTTAATTTTTTTCTTACAATGTATGGATTTAGGTAAAAGTATTCACAGTGTTTTTATTGTCATGCTATTCTCAGTGATTTCCAGAGTAAATAGATTTTTTTTCCTAGAGAGAGAGAGCTCGCACACAGCGGAGGGGCGGATAGAGAGGGACGAGAGAATCCCAGTCAGGTTCCACGCCCAACAGGGCTAGACCTCATGACCATGAGATCATGATCTGAGCTTGAAATTAAGAATCCCAGCTACTCCCCCCAGAGTAAATGGATTTTTGAAAGTGCTAATTATACTACTTTAATATAACAACCAGAACATGTATTTTAACCATTTGTATAAATAAGATAATTTCCACATAGATGTATTTTGTGAATATCTATTTCTGAGCAGGGTAAATTTATAATTTTGGGAAGTAGCTGACAGATTTTAAAAATATATGTTCATAAAGTAAAATGTCTTCTCTATTAGTTAAAAATTATACTGTTAGTAGGTAGATTTTCTATAAAGCTGTGTAGACCATAACTGTTGAAAGTTGAACCTGAAGTTTTGCATCAGGGATTAGCATTTATGTTGTATCAAAATTATGGTGGTTATACTTTATTTAAAAAAGAACTCAATGCTGTATATTCCATTGGTTTTTAAATTTGAGCCATGATTGTAGGTGCTGACTTTCGAAAGAGAAATCTACTTTGGATGGCTTAATATTTTGGAAAAATCTAAAATGCTAACTTGTCACAATCAGCGACAACTTTTACATCCACTAGTACAAACTACAGTGTGTACATGAAATTAAAAAAAAAAACCTGTTAGCTTTAAGTAATTTCTTTAAGGTGAGGTTGGGATGATGCTAATATAAAGGAATTAGATTTGGTGCCCATTGTATTTGAGTTAATATTTCTACTTTAATTATTTAGACTTTCTTCAATTCTGTGAAAGGGATATGGGACTAAACTAACTAATAAACCAAACTGTTAGTTAACATAATCATACAAATCATTTCAATTTAAACTGCTTTTGTTTTGAAATTAGAATGAGGAAGCTTTTTATTTGTTAACTATATAGTTTTACAATTACTTTAGGTCATTAAGAATATGATAGAGGTTTTTCTTTTTCTTTCTGATGCCATCATTTAAGAATCAGTAGTCCAGATGAGTTGATGTAGCTTTGCATTTTTCTTCCTGGTAGTGACAAACCAGCTACTATACACTCACAGTGTTCAGTATTTGTTGCTGACAGTCTTTCTGTGATAGCCTATAGACTGACATAAAGTACAGCCTGTTGTGAACTCCTAAGTGAGTCTGCCAGAAACTCAGCAGACAGAACTAATTGGGGAGGAAAAGGACTTTTGTGCCTTCTCTTTCTTTCTGTTCTTTTTATTTTATAAGACAGATGTTGTTAAAGTAGCTTGTTTATGTAAGATTTATCTGCCTCTTTTCTCGTTGCATGGATCATTTTTTAACTTAAAGTCTTGCACTGCAGGTCATTAAGCACTTCCACATGGAGACTGGCACAGGACCCAGCTCGAGATACACAGCTTATAACAGTTGATGAAAAATTGGTAAGAATTTTCTACTGTACACTGCTATGATTCTGCCTTCAGGGTTATTTTTATACAATAGCTTTTCAGTATCATGTTCTGGGTTCTTCCAGGAAAATTATTTGAATTTAAATTTCTAGATAGTGTATAAATTTTAAGAAGAAATAGTCATCACAAAAAGATGAAGACAATTTGTGTTAAGTGTAAAATACAAATATTAAGTCATAGATATTAAGAAGTTAAAATTGCAAAAGGCTTCATTTTTGTGGTGTTTATAAGTAGCAATCAGAACATTTTCATTTAATGAATATGAATATACATATTAATGAATATGTATTTTCTATTTTCTCAGTTATACTCCTATTTAAGTTGTAAGACACTTAACAGGTGGTACCTAAAATTAAGTATATTGGGTTTTTATGGAACCAATTGTTGTATTGTTACTGTATGTATATATGTACACAAAAATTACATTTCTACATTATGCATGAGAGATTGCAACTAGCAACAAATAATACTCTGTTAATCAGTAGCAGATAGAATTTTGGTAACTGTCACTTGTAAAATTTTTTAATGTGTGGGTATTACTTTAGATACAGCTTCTTGTTTATACCTATATTGTAAAATAGCATAAATTTTGTAGAGTCTCTAAGACTTGCAAAAGTGTGTAATCGTATAGCATATTTTTCACTTTTTATTTGGTTAAGCATTATCAAAAGTATGGGTGTGTTTCTTAACTACTTTTTTCCAGTTGTACATTCTTATATCACTCAGTTTTGATTCTGTAAGCAAAATGTAATTTTTCTTTTCTTTTTTTTTTTTAAATTTTTTTTATGTTTTATTTATTTCTAGGAGAGAGAAACAGCGTGAGCAGGGGAGGGTCAGAGAGAGAGGGAGGCACAGAATCTGAAACAGGCTCCAGGCTCTGAGCTGGCTGTCAGCACATAGCCTGACGCGGGGCTCGAACCCACGAACTGCGAGATCATGACCTAAGCGAAAGTCGGACGCTTAACCGACTAAGCCACCCAGGCGCCCCGCAAAATGTAATTTTTCATTTATTTAAGTGTTTATTTTGAGAGAGAGAGAGAGAGAGAGAGAGAGAGAGCATGTGCCTTATCAGAGTAGGGGCAGAGACAGACAGACAGACAGACAGACCTAAGTAGGCTCCATGCTCAGCGTGGAGCCCGACTTGGGGCTTGATCTCACAATTGTGAGACCATAACCTGAGCTGCCTAACAGACTCAGCCGCCCGGGCACCCCAGCATAATTTTTTTTTTTTTTAATGTTTTATTTATTTCTAGGAGAGAGAGCGAGCGAGCAGGGGAGGGTCAGAGAGAGGGAGTCACAGACTGAAACAGGCTCCAGGCTCTGAGCTGGCAGTCAGCACAGAGCCTGACGCGGGGCTCGAACCCACGAACCGCGAGATCATGACCTAAGCGAAAGTCGGACGCTTAACCGACTAAGCCACCCAGGCACCCCACCCTAGCATAATTTAAATAATAGGTAACACTGAAAGATCTAAACATCTTCTATTTATTTATTTTTTAACATTTTTTAAATTTATTATTGAGAGACAGAAAAAGAGCATGAGCATGGAGGGCCAGAGAGAAGGGGAGACACAGAATCTGCAGGAGGCTCCAGGCTCTGAGCTGTCAGCACAGAGCCCAGTGTTGGGCTCGAACTCACAGACTGTGAAATCATGACCTGAGCTGAAGTCGGACGCTTGACTGAGCCACCTAGGCGCCACTAAACGCCATTTATACGATTAGAGTTAAAAACAGATACATAAACAGATGGGTAAACAGACAAGGGACAGATAGTTTGGAAAACTCACGTCAGGCTTAAGGCTGGTTGATTTTATCTTTATCTCTGCTTGCTGACATCGCCATCATCCTAGTCTAGGCCAGCATCATCTTTAACTTAGATTGCTGCAGTAGTTTTTAAATTGATCTCTATAGATACTTGAATCTTCCTTTAATTCATTTTCCAAAGGATAACCAGAATAGACTTTTTTTAACTGCTGGTTTTGTCCCTTATTGTGTATAAAATCCATTAGTTTTTTTTACTGACCTAAAAGTTAACATTAAAATCCTTACATGGTTCTTGAGGTCTTGCATGATTTAAGTCCTGCCTTCCTCTCTAGGTTTATCTTGTACCACTATCTTTTATACTCTGTGCTCCAACCACAACAAACCTGGAACTTGTTTCTTTTCCTGCTTTGGGGCATTCACATTCCAATCCCTCTTCCTAGAAGCTTTTCACGAATCTCTTAACTCTTTAAACAGGGACCATCTACTTATTCTCCACATATTAATTGAGCACCACTTGCTTAGTCAAGTATAAAAGAAGCGAGATAGGTATGAGTGAGAGGAGGATGATTTATACATGCCATTGTTCATTAATTTATGAGGGTACTATTTTAATTTTTCCAGGGACCATTGTCTAAGCACCAAGAGATTGCTTTCTTCTAATATTATGGGGTTTACTTTCTATAATAAACTTTCAAATTTTATAGAGTTTTATTAGTAATGCTTCTAAGTTCTTTCTAATTTGAAGAATGAGTAAGTGAAGTAGCAATCTGTTGCTCTAAACAAGATGCTATGAATCATACCAGAGAGGTATACAGACCACTTGAGTTTTGTGTTTTTTATCTCATAATATCAGTTGCATACTTGTAATGAATCTTGTTGCCCTGTGTAGGTTTTCCTCAGCTTTGTTATGTCTTTCTTAAAGTGTGTTAGTGAAAATGTCAGTATGGTATTAAAGCTGACATCAATTCAAGTCGTACCCATAAATTATTCATAGTTATTGAAATAATATTTAAACAGATAATTCAGATCCATAGGTAATTTTCAAACCCAAGGTTTAGCCATTCATTTAGGTTTATATTAAAATGCAGTATTATATAATCAAATAGGTAACATAATGCTGATAGGGGTTTCATGTCTTCTTATTCCTACACATTACTGGATGAATGTTTCAGTTGATAGACCAGTGACAAGACCAGTGACTGAAGGGTTCTTCCAGAAATATTGAGCAGTTGGACTTGATTATATTTGCATTTTGAATAAGAATGATTCTCTCCAAGATCCCCAATGGATGCCTGAAACTATGGATAGTATCAAACCCTATATGTACTATGTTTTTCCTAAACATACATACCTATGATAAAGTTTAATTTACAAATTAGACACAGTAAGAAATTAACAACAATAATAAAATAGAACAGTTGTAACAATATACTAATAAAAGTAGGTGAATGTCATCTCTCAAAATATTGTACTGTACTCACCCTTCTTGTGATGTTGTGAGATGACAAAATGCCTGTGTGGTGAGATGAAGTCAGGTGAGTGATGTAGACTTTGTGATGTAGCATTTGGCTACTGTTGACCTTTAGACAGATCTGTTATAAGGACAATCACTGGCCTTTTTCCTTTCTTTCTTTTTTTTTAATGTTAGTACAAGGATAGGAGGAGCAGAGAGAGGGGGAGGGAGAGAATTCCAAGCAGGCTCTGTGCTGTCAGCACAGAGTCCCATGCACGTCTCAGTCTCAGGAACTGTGAGATTTTGACCTGAGCTGAAACCAAGAGTCAAATGCTTAACCGACTGAGCCACCCAGGCGCCCCGTGAGTCACTAGCTTTCATACTGTGGTTGACTGTGGGTAACTGAAACTGCAGAAAGCAAAACTGTAGATGGGTTGGTGTGCAGGTGGAGGTTCTGTATATAAACATTAATGATAAGAATATTTCAAAAATGGCAAGTAAATATAAGTATTTTAGAAGGAGATGTGGCAGCAGCATTTTAACATGATATGTAATGTAAACCAATTTACTAGCTAAGCATACCATTTTAATTAACTGCTCAACACTAGATTATTGTTATATTTGTACCTGAAATTTGGATAAAAGCTAGAATCGTAATTGTAAAGTAAGGGAATTGGCCATTATCATGATTTCTATTGGGTATTCTTATATAATGTATTAAAATTAATACAGGTGATGCCTATTACAGCCAAGGGCTTAAGTATGTGGCCTAAGCTTAGTTGGGGATAAATTTTTGTGGTTATTGTAAAATGGATCCTAGGAATTTAAAACCAGAGGATAACTTTAGATGTTACCTAGTTTTATTACTGAATCCAGTCATTTTTCATCTAAAAGATTGATCAACCTTTTATTCAAGATAAATCATATGGGGAAATCCAGTAAGTAATTAACTAAATAAAAGCTGAACTGCTGGAGGGTAAGGGTTGGAAATATGAAGGAAGACTTGTAAACTTTCCCCAAGACCACCTTCTTGGGGGACTTCACAGAGTAAGATTTGGAAAGATAATTTAATCTTTTGTCCTTTTTATTAACCCGAACAACTTGTTCTCAAACTTGTGTTTTAAAAATTTCCTGTTAACTGGTTCTCATTTCTTTTGAGGTTACTGTTTATATTACTAATCAGCCATAATTATTAGAAAGCGATTTCTTACTGAGAAAAAATAGACTTTTCAACAAATGAAGATGGAACAATTGTATACCCAAATGCAAAACAAAGCAAAAATCTTCATCTATATTGTGTACCATAGGCAAAAAGTAACTCAGAGTTCTAAATGTAAACTCATAGTTCTAAATAAAAAACTAAAAATTATAAAACTTCTAGAAAAAATATGTAGCTTTGTGTTTGGCATATATTTTATAGATATAAATTAAATCCATTTTTTTAAAATTATGAAGTTGGGTTTCCTTACATTAAAAATTTCTACTCTTTGAAAGACATTGTTAAGAGGCAGAAAAGACAAAGCACAGATTAGGAGAAAATATTTACAAAACATGTCTGATAGAGGAGTTGTGTCTAGACACTAGACAACATTTACAACTAAGTAATATGATACTAACTCAGAGAAAAATGAGCAGGTTATCCAGAAGATACTCAAATGGCAAATAAGCACATGAATAGATGCTGAACATCATTAGTGATTATGGAAATGAATATTGAAACTATAGTGAGAGGGGTGCCTGGGTGGCTCAGTTGGTTA